TTCTCTTTGTCTGCACCCCATGCCTATAATGCTATCCCTCCTTCACGCCTACTACTTGCTCCCCTGGCTTCCTTTAGTCCCAACTAAAATCTCATCTTTTATAGGAAGCCTTCCCTAAACCTTCTTAACTCCAGTGTTTCCCCTCTTTTTCTTATTTCCTATTTATTCTGCATATAGCTTGATATATATTTGTTTCCATGTTGTCTCCCCATTAGATTATAAGCTCCTTGAGGGCAGGGGTTGTCTTTTGCCTCTTTTTGTATTCCCAGTGCTTAGCATAGTCCCCAGCATACAGTAGGTGCTTAACAAATGTTTATTGATTGATATAGTAATATCTACACCCTCCACAAGAAGATACAGTTCGCTATTCTGTACGATCACCAAGTTGATCAGGCAGCTGCCCTGAACAACCACTTACACAAGGAAATACGGAAAGACCTTTATGAAATAAGTAGAATTGGAGGGGTAGGGGAAATAGAAGCAGAAGAAGGGACTACACATTTGACCATATGAGGAAAATGAATGGACAAAGAATCCTGATGGAGACTTGGAGTAAATCAACAAGCATTTATTAAGTGCTTATTGTATGCTTTGACAATACATGGGATGGATTTCACTTTTTAACTCTAGACAATTGCAAAGTAAGTTTAATTGATTATATTGATATTCAATATTATTCCTAATCCTTTTATTTTTAATGACTGAAGAGGTAGAAAAAGCAGCTAGGTGGTGAAGTAGATAGAGCGCCTGACCTGAAGTCAGAAAGACTCATCTTCTTGAGTTAAAATCTGGTCTCAGACATTTACTAGTCGTATGACCCTGGGCAAGTTACTTAACCATGTTTACCTCAGTTTCCTCATCTGTAAAATGAGCTAGAGAAGGAAATGGTAAGCCACACTAGTATCTTTGCCAAGAAAACTCCAAATGGGGTCACAAAGAATCAAACGCAACTGAAAATGACTGAACAGGAAGAGGTAGAATGTTCAGCTGCGTTTGACATTGGGTGCTTGGTGGTCATTGTATTTGGGTCATCCTGTAAGGAAAACTTAAGTCATGTACCTTTATAGTTTCTGAGAGAGCTCGGCTTTTGTGAACTTAGAGAAAGGAACTATGTCATGACACATATGGAATTCCCAAGGAAGACTGTTGGTGCTAATGAATAGGTAGACACGACTACCTTGGTGGGCCCAGACCCAAGTGACATTCTTTAGAGTTTCTGCTTTTATTGGGGAAAAAAATTCAAGTCTTTTCCAAGTGCTTGTTGAGTATAATAAGTGGGAAGCCCAGAAATTGAGTACCTCAAAATCCCAATCATCCGTCTTGAAGCTTATAAAAATAGAAAGTAAATGCTGGCAAGAAACATAAAGTCTCTATAATCATATATTTCAAGGTTGTTCCCTGAATTATCTGCGTTGTTGTGGATCCTGAGATGTTTCATTTCAGGGTGGTTATCTGGTACCTCCAAAATGGAAATATCATTGAGGAAGCAGTTTTTTGTCTAGACAAAATATTCAATGTATTTGTGGGGCTTAGGGTGTGCCCACTGACCTAAAACAACCCTTCTCATCATTTCTTATAGCACAATAGTACTCCACCACAATCATATACCAAAATTTGTTCAGCCATTCCTCAGCTGATGAGCATGCCCCCAATGTCCAATTCTTTACCATCACAAAAAAAAACCTGTTATTTTTGTACATGTAGATTCTTTTCATTTTTCTTTGATCTCTTTGGGATACAGACCTAGCAGTACTATTGGTGATTCAAAGAGTATGCACAATTTTATAGCTCTTTGGGCAAAGTTCCAGATTCTTTTCCAGAACGGTTGAAACAATTCAAAACTCCACCAACAATCCAGTAGTGTTCCTATTTTTCCCTCATCCCCTCCAGTATTTGTCATTTCTGAGAGGTGTGAGGTGGTACCTCAGAGTTGTTTTAATTTGCATTTGTCTAATCAATAGCGATTTAGAGCATTTTTTCATGACTATAGATAGGTTTGATTTCTTCTTCTGAAAACTACTTGTTCACATCGTTTGACCATTTGTCAATTGGGGAATGGATCTTATTTTTGTAAATTTGACTCAGTTCCATACTCAGTATAATATCTCAGAAATGAGGTTTTTCATCAGAGAAACTTTCTCTAAAAATTTTTGAAATTACTTCATTGCCTATGGTACCTTTTAACTAAAGGTCAGACTCGACTGAAAAATGGCTTAACAACAACCAGTTTCCCTGATTACCTCTTTTAGTTAGGTCTATTTTTGCTTTTGATTTATCTGAGGTCATGATTACCACCTCTGCCTTTTTTACTTCAGCTGATGCTTATTCTGCTCCAGCCCTTCATTTTTACTGTGCGTTTTTCTCTTTCAAGTGTGTCTCTTAAAAGTAACATATTGTTGGATTCTGGTTTCTAATCCCTTCTGCTATCTGCTTCCATTTTTATGGGTGAGCTCATCCCATTCCTATTCACAGTTATGATTACTAACTGTATTTCCCTTCATCCCATTGTCTTCTTCTGTTCTTCCCCAACTCCCCTTTATCCTGTCCCTTTTCAAAAGTCTATTTTTTCTAACCACTGCCTTTGTTAATCCACCCTCCTTTTTAACACCCTCCTCCCTTTCTCTTATCCCCATCCCCTTTTATTTCCCTCTTGGTAACTTAAATTTCTATACACAGTTGAGTGTGTGTATATATTCTTCCTTCTTTGAACTAATTCAATGAGAATGAGGTTCAAGCATTGCCTGCCACACACACCCCCTCCATTTTCCCCTCCATTGTAAAAGTTCTTTCGTGTGTGCCTCTTTTATGTGAGAAAATTTTTCCCATCCTGCCTCTCCCTTCCCCCTTCTCCCAGTGCCTCCCTCTTTCTCAAATACCATGGAACCCCAGTCAGGATCATACAAGATTTAATGGCTTCCACGTTAAAGAAGCAGAGTACTTGGAATATGATATTTCAGAAGGCAAAGGGGCTAGGATTACAACCAAGAATCACCTACACAACATAAACTGAGCATAATCCTTCTGGGAAAAAAATTGATATTTAATGAAATAAAGGACTTTCAAGCATTCCTGATGCTGACCAGTCAATCAGAAGACTCAAGAGAAGCATAGAAAGGTAAACGTGAAGAAAGAGTAATCACAAGGGACTAAATAAAGTTAAACTGTTTATATTGCTATATGGGAAGATTATACATGCAACTCTATCATTATTAGGGCAGTTAAAAGGAGTTTACATCGACAGAGGGCATGAATGTGAGTCAATTATGGAATGATCTCCAAAAAAGTAATTTAACCAAACAAAGCTACTATGGTGGCAGGGAAGACTTAAGACATAAACTCAGAAGACAACAATGTGAAAACAGCTATAAAAAGGTCTCAAAGAAAAATACTAATTGGATCCAAGCCCAAATGAGATAATGCCTGAAAGAGCCCTACCCCTCTAACTATGGCTTCAGTATAGGACCTGAAGAATAACCAAAGATGTTGCAATATTGAGATTTGCTATGCAAAACTCCAGTCAAGAGTCCCATCCCAAAGAGAGATAGCACTTCAACAACAGAAGTGTCTCTAGACCATCTAGCCAGTGGCTAAGTTAACTAATGACATACAGGGGTAATGAATGATGATATATAACCCATATAGTATGTAAGTACCTACAGGAACCATAGTATATATAGGAGAAGACCATAAATGAATTATAGTATATACAACTCAGTAAAAGTTATAAGTGGACAATCTTTATTGGTAAATGGAGTTGATCAATCATAGGTCTAAGCAAAAAATAAAGTTTATTGTATTCCAATTTACACCATATACTGTTATATTCTCTACTCATGAGAATATATTTGTATAAATGTTACACACAGTATCTGGAATAATCTATAGGGAATGTAAATTTTCTGACTGCTGTAAATTCCATCAAATGCTGGAATATTTCCGTTATTCTCTTCTTTTTGGGTAAGTGGGGGAAATAAAGAACATTCATCTCAAGAGCTAGGCTTGGTGATAGGTAAGGCTGGTCATGGGAAAGCAAAGGAGAGCAAAGGGTTGAAGGGCTGAGACAATTAAGTGCTCTAGCCGTGTCTTTCCAGTTCTTACTCTGATGATGGCACCAAAAATACCTGGAGTCTCTAGAAACCCAGTCTAGTCTGAAATAGACTGGGTGGCCAGGCTACAGAGTCATAATTAGTAGCAGGAAATTAGAGAAAGATAGAAAAAGAACATACTTCTTCAACTCCCTTCCAGCCACAGGCATGAGGCAAGGAACACCATGCAGAGACAAGACTTGTAGGGGAAGGAGCCTCTGCCAAAAGTCTTCAGTAGTGATTTCTATACATCTTTTAGGAGTGGTTGTGAAAAGCTGCATGGAATAGTGGATAGAGCTGGCCTTGAAGCCAAGAAAACCTGGGTTGAAGTCCCAACTCTGACATATACTGGCTATGTGACCTTGAGCTAGTGAGTTAACCTTAGGCAACTCTCTAAGACTCTTAGATTGAAGAGAATGTGCTGACCTGCACTGGCAGAGGGAATTTCCTCACCTGGCAGTTCCCTATACTGGTAAAATCATAGGTTTAGTCCTTCCTTAGCCAATCCCTTTAAAACTAGTTATTCATTCAATAATTAATTTTCTTCCTTTTAATAAAGCTTTATTATCTAATATTGGAACTGCATGCTCACAAACCAGGAATCCATGTCAGTAGAGTCTGAGATACTATATATACATATATACACAAATATACACACATATATATGTATACATACTACGTATCTACATGTGCATGTATGTGTGTCTGTGTATATATGTTCCCAGGTTTCTTGGTTGGGGACTATATATGACTCAAGAAAGTAAGATAATGTCCAAATTGTACCTGGGCCCTCTCTATCATAAGGGTTATATATCTGCATTCTTTCTTCCAAGGTCTTTTCCAGCTCTAAAACTCTGATTGTATGATTCAAGTGACCTTATATTTCTTTTACCTTTTCTGTCTACTTTTATGCAGATTCTCCCTCTTGAAAACCAAATGAAGTATCCTAATCATTATGTTGTGATCCTGTACATGGTGATGCCCATCATCATTATTCTCTATGTCAGCCTGGGAATCCTGGGCTACATGAAATTTGGAGAAGACATTCAGGCCAGCATAATCCTCAACCTGCCCAACTGTTGGTATGTCCTAAGATAGGAAGGGGGGAAGACTGTGAGAATGGAGCCAAGCAATGCGTTCTGTGTTACAGTTGGGTTTTTCTCATTGAAAAAGAGAGCAATCTATTAATCAACTAGAGATTAACACAGAACTCTGTTCAGGTCACTTCACCTGTCTGGGCCTCAGTTTCCTCATTTGTAAAATGAGAGAGTTGGACCAGATGATCTTTAAGGTTCCTTATGAATAGACTGATGTCAGCCTAAAAGGAGATCTATAGTAGAGTACACAGGGCCCACTTCTAGTCAATATTTTATAAATACTTGGATAAAGACAGAGATGAAATGCTTGTCAAATTTTAGATGGCACAAAATTGGGAAGATTAGCTAAAAATTGCACAAAAGAATTGGGATCCCAATCTAGATCTCGACAGGTCTCCACTTGGCAGCTTGTGAAAGATGGATTGCAGTAGAGACAGGAAAGGAAGACCGATTAAGAGGCCATTATAATAGTCCAGGTGAGAGCTGGTAAGGGTCTGAACTAAGGCAGAGGTGTGTGAGTAGTGAGAGAGAATGTATAGGATGTTGTGGTAGAAATGGTAAGATTTGGAAACTGAATAAACATGTGGGATTAGAGAGAGTGAGGAGTCAAGGACAACATGAAATTCAATCTGAGAGCTTAGAAAGATGGTTGGTACCCTCCATAGAATTAGAGAAATTTAGTATGGGTGAGTTTGAAGAGAAAGATTGTTTTAAATAAGTTGAGTTTGATATGTGTATGGGACATGAAGTTTCAAATGTCAAAATGGTGATGTAGGAGTGGAGCTCAGGAAAAAGACTGGGGTTGGATATATAGATCCAGGAATGATCTGAATACATATGATAATGAAACCCATGGGAGTTGATGAGGTTACTAAGTGAATGCAGAAAGAAGAGAGCCTAGGACGAAACTTTGAGGTAACCCAAAGATAAGAGACATGATATTGATGAGGAGCCAGCAAACAAGACTGAGGAGTGGTCACAGAGTAGTGTCATAAAAACCCAAGGAAGAGTGAGTCCCCAGAAGGATAGTGTGGTCAACAGTGTCATGCGCTGTAGAGATTAAGAAAGGTGAGGACTGGGGCAGCTAGGTGGCACAGTGGATAGAGCACTGGCCATGGAGTCAGGAGGACCTGAGTTCAAATGTGGCCTCAGACACATAACATTTACTAGCTGTGTGACTCTGGGCAAGTCACTTAACCCCAATTGCCTCACAAAAGAAAGAAAGAAAGAGAAAAGAAAAAGAAAGGTGAGGACTGGGGTAAAGATGATCAGATTTGGCAACCAAGAGATCACTGGTAACTTTGAAGAAAGCAATTTCAGTTGAGTGATGAGGTTGGAAGCCAGATTGCAAAAGCCTAAGAAGTGAGCACAAGTAACCAGTGGAGACAGATTTTTCTAGGAGTTTGGCTAGAAATGGAGGAAAGGCATAGAATGATAGTTTTAAGGGGATGGCAGGATCTAGTAAAAGTTTTTTTAAAGATATTGGAGACTTAAACATGTTCGTAGACAAAAGGTGGAACAAATGATAAATAGGGAGAGAGTGAAGATTAGAGAGAGGGGGAATAATTGAGGGGCCAATCTGTTAGAGAAGAGAGAAAGGGATGGGATCAAGGGCATGTAGAGAGGTTTGACCTTGGAAAGACAAAGGACCATCTTATTATAAGACACTGAAGTAAAGATAGAGACAGAGGGGTGAGAAGGATGTCAAGAGTTTTTAAGATGAAAAGAAGAGAAGAGGGAACTCACTGTGAATGGTTTTATTTTCTCAGTAGAATATGAGGCAAATCCCTTAGTTGAGAGGTGATGAGATGGGCACAAGGAAGGCGGTTGACATGGCATCATAAATTATACTAATAATCCTATTGATACCACACCATATTGAGTTCAATCTGTTCTTGCCAAACCATAGGATGGTTTGAGGAAGGAAAGAAAGGTTTGGAGCAGTGCCTGTGGGGAGTGGGATAAATGATTAGGGAGAAGGATTGCTTTGCAGCACTGAGGCTCTACTTGAGATCTAATAATGTAAATTTGTAATAAAACAGGGTGATCTAAATTGTGTGACTTCCTCTAGTTCTATTCAATAACATATGAATAGGAATTAAGGAGATTGGTAGAAATAATCCAAGAATGAGTAGTGATAGGACAAAGAGGTAAGGGAAGGAGAGGACAACGTGTAATTGAAATGGCTAATTGCAGGGTTTAGATTGGTAAAGAAAGTGAAGTCAAAGCAGAGTCACAAACTGAGAAAGTATGGAGGTATGAAGGGATTGGAAGTTAAAATAAGGATAAGAAATCAGTTTGAGAAGGGGTAAGACACAAGAGATGGAATGACAGGAGCTTATGCCCAGATAGAAAAATGACAGAGGTTTGTTGTTGTTGTTGTTTTTTAAATCATGAATATGAAACACTTGTGGCAAGATCTAGGGTGTGATCACCCGTGGTGGAGGGTGCATGATGTGGAGTAGGAGCTAAGTTACAGGATGGGAAATTGATGAATCAAGAAGTTAAGCTGTTTGAAGGACTACTGACATGTATGTTGAAGTCCTCCAATAATGTCAGAAGTTGGAGAGGAGAAGAGAACAGTAATTCAGGTACTGAACTCCTAAAAAAAAAAAAAGAGAGAGGAAACATGACCTGGGAGCTAGTAGAAAAAATAGCCACCATGATCTAGATTGAGAGATAAATGTTAATTGTGTTAACTTCCAGGAAGAAGTCATAGAGTGATGGTGGCAGAGGGAGAACCTAGAACTAGAAGTGAGGCAGAGTAAAGAGGTTGATCTGACTCCTTCCTAGCCCTGCTCCATCCTGAAACCACCAAGCAGAAAAAGCCTACGCCTTCTTACACGTGACAAGCTTTTAGATAAGTGTGATCATTGTTGCCTAAGTCTTCTCTTCTTATGCTAGTTCCTACATATGCTCTTTTTATGACACATTCATTTTTAGTCACCTTCCCTTTATGGATAGCTTCCTCTGAATACGCTCGAGATAGTTGACGTCCTTCTTAAAATGAACTGGATACAATGCTCCATCTGTGACCTAACCAGGGTTTGGTCAGTGGGACTAGCCTTTCTCTTGCTTGGAACATTAGACTTCTATTGATTCAACCTTAGAAGCCAGGTCTCCTGACTCCTAATCCACTTAGATGCCCTTTCTATTTTCCCAAGATCATAAATGATACTAATAATCCCATTGATACCACACAATACTGAGTTCAATCTGTCCTTGCCACATGAGCCTATACAGTCACTTTAGGGCTAAAGGGTTTATACTACATCTTGGGAGGATTTTCTGAAACAAACTCACCATCTGGATTCTATCTTCAGGTTATATCAGTCTGTCAAGATTCTCCATTCCATTGGGATTTTTTTCACCTACGCCTTGCAGTTCTATGTTCCTGCAGAGATCATCATCCCCCTTGTCATGTCCTGGGTACCAGAACAAAATGAATTGTTGGTTGACTTGTCTGTCTGTGCATTCATGGTCTGTATGACATGTGAGTAGAAAGCAGAACTTTTTTTTTTATTAAGGTGCTTATTTCACATCAGCTGAGTATTAATTTCTTCATCTACAAAATGAGAAGACTAGATTGTAGTATCACTACAAAGTCCCTCCCAGACAAGGTCCCCTTCAGCTCTAACATTCTATGGTTTTGACAGCCATATGAAGACTGGATTGGAGGAGAGTGGTAGTGTGACCATTTAGGAAGCTACTGCAGTAATCTGTGCAAGTGGCTGGGAGCGATGGGAGTAGGGGGACAAGGACCTGAACTATGGTATGGTGAGGTTTGAGAAAACAGAAGAAATTTGTAGAGGTAAAATCAACATGATTTGGTAGTTAAATAAATTGGGGGGGGGGGTGAGAGAAAAGGAAGAACCATGGATGACAGCTCCACAGAAATAGCTTGGAGAGAAGAAATGGATTTAAGGTAGAAAGAGGACCTGTTGAATTGCAGATGTCTATAGGAGGTCCAAGTAGAGAAATCTAGTAGTCAGTCTGGCAGGGCTGAAATTCAGGAGGTAAAGTGGGAATGGACACAAAGATTTGGTAGTTGTCTCTGCATAAAGATAAAGGAATGTAGTAAGAGAAAAAAGAAAGGAGTTCAGGACAGTGCCTCAGAAGGCAATCATACTTGTGGTTCTTCAGTCATTTCAGTCATGGCTGACTCTTCATGACCTCTTTTGGGATTTTCCTTTTTCTTTAACAATTTTTTTTTTTGGTTAGGCAATGGGGTTAAGTGACTTGCCCAGGGTCACACAGCTAGTAAGTGTTATGTGTCTGAGGCCGGATTTGAACTCAGGTCCTCCTGAATCCAGGGTGAGTGTTCTATCCACTGTGCCACTTAGCTGCCCTTTTTCTTTAACAATCTTTAAAATATTTTAAGACCCACATGAGTTTTCTCACTCAGGCTGCTAGGTGTTAACAATAGATAGAGTGCTGAACTTAGAGTCAAGAAGATCTGAGTTCAAGTTTGGCCACACATACTTCCTGGCCATATTGTTGCTGTTCAGCTGTTTTTCAGTCATGTTCAACTCTCTGTGACTCCGTTGGGGTTTTCTTGCCAAAGGTACGAGAATGGTTTGCCATTTCCTTCTCCAGCTCACTTTACATAATAAACTGAGGCAAACAGGATTAAGTGACTTGCCCAGAGTCACCTAGTTAGTGTCTGAGGCCAGATTTGAACTCAGGAAGATGAGTCCTCCTGACTCCAGACCCTGGCACTATCCACTCAGTTACCTTGCTGCCCAGGCAATCATACTTAAATGGTGGCAGATCAAATGAAGATCCAGGGTAGGAGACTGACACGCAGATGTATAGAGAAAATAGAAAGTCTTGTCATGAGAGACAAAGAAAAGGGTATTCGGGAGGGGTCAATCACTGGTGTGAAAATCAACAAAGAGATCAGAAGATGAGGACTAAAAAAAGGCCATCCAATTCAGCAAAGAAACCTTTAAGAAATCAGTTTCACTCAAAAGCTTATGGAAGTGATTGTTGACAAATTAAAATAAATTAATAAAAAAAAATTTTGCCAAAAAAAATAAAAAGAAATCCTTTTCAGCTGAGTGGTCACATCAGCAAGTTGATTACAAGAAGCTGAAAAGTGAGTAAGGAAATGGAGTCAGTAAGTATAGATGATGCTTTCCAGAAACTTGGCAGTGAAAGGGAGAGAAAAAGTATGATAGCTTGACAAGTAGTCAACGAGAGTTGAATGAAATTTTTATTTTTAAGGCTAGGAAGACTTGAGCATGTTTATAAACACTAAGGAAGGGAACCAGTAGATGGGAAGGGATTGAAAGTAGAGGTGGTGACCTTTGTGCAGATTGATCTGAAGGTCCATGCAGCACATTATAGACATCGTTTGTTGCAGGGACCAGCACTTGTCTTTTCTTTATTTCCCTTTTCACTTGGCTCTCACCTTGGAGTTGGGCAAGTAGAAAGCGTGGCATTAGACCAATCTATCTAGTTCTTAATCAGTAGAGAACAATTAGTGCAATGGATGTACGTGATCCCTTTTTCCTCAAAAAATCAGATAGAGTTAATGAACCCACTTCAGACTCAGTAGTAGTTCCTAGAAGAAAGACTGATAGGTATTAAATGGGAATGAAATGTAAGCGGCAGAAATAGGTTCTCTTCCTACTAAGGAAGAGACTAACTTTAGAGAGGCTCATAGTTCGAAGACCGTTAGAACTGGAAGTGGATCTTAGAACATAAACCATAAAACATCAGAGCTGATGGAACTTCTTAAAACAGACTGAAAGAGCAGAACAAGAAGGGACCTATGAAAGCATCTTATCTAACCCCTCATTTCCATGCACTAAGTGGACAGCACATAGATTCTGGTGGTTGAAGAGGACAACAGTCCTACCACCTTCAGATGGAGCTTGGGGCCACGTAATTTTGGTCCCCAGCAGGTAGCACAAAAGGTACGGTCAAATCAACCTTTTAACCAAGATGTAAAAATAATACAAAGTGAACATAACAACTTCAGTTGAGCAAGAGGAGAATCAGTTCTGTTAGTGGCTCATAGAACAATGTTATTTTCAATGCTATCAATCGACCAGCTCTTCTTGTTAACTGGCTGTTTCTCTTAAAGCTCAATTGTTTCTGATGAGCAAGTAAGTGCATGTGTTTAATTTCTGTGGCCTAGGGGCAGCTAGGTGGCACAGTGGATAGAGTACCGGCCCTGGAGTCAGGTAGGACCTGAGTTCAAATCCAGCCTCAGACATTCACTAGCTGTGTGACTCTGGGCAAGTCACTTACCCCCAACTGCCTCACTAAAAAAATAAAAAAAATTGTCATTTTTATGGCCTCTAAATTGATACCCTGGACCAAAGCACTGATTGTTCTGCCCTAGGTATAGTTCTGCAGTGAACCATATGGTTATAATTTATCTCTGTTCCATTGTTGAAGGAGTCTTTCCTCTAAGGGGTCTAATCTGGTTATGTGGGCCTTGTTTGTGAAAAGGAACTCTACAGCCTCTCTTCCTGGAAAACGGCACAATTTTCCTTCTGTTGAATGAGTCTGACTGTCTTGCTGGGGTTACCTTGCAATGGCAAGAAACATGTGCGAGGAAGACTGCAACAGCCAATTCTTATCATCCTTTTCAATGCCAGCACTCCGCTGATGACTGTAGGCTTTAGGAAGCAGTTTTCTTTGGTACTGGCACAATCCTGAACCTCTGCAATCTTCCTCTTACAGATGTATTTGCCATGTTGATCCCCCAAATGGAGCAGATTACTGTGCTGCTGGGTTCTGCGAGTTGTAGTGTTCTGGCTCTGATCATCCCACCACTCCTGGAGATCTGTACCTATTACTCAGATGGCTTAAGCTCCTTCATCATTATTAAGGATCTCTTTATCAGTATCCTGGGCATTCTTGGGTGTATAATGGGAACCTACCAAGCCTTCTATGAAATAATCCACCAGAACTTTTTCAGTTCCTCACAAAATGTCACCAAGGACTTTGTGTAATTTTCTACTTTCCATTGAACATCTTTCCTCTCACCCCACATTCCCATACTTGGATTTTAAATTGTTATTATACACACCTCCCTCTTGAATTCCTGCTGTGTGTCAGTGATTTTTCCTCTTCTGGGTGAAGCTTAAAACCTAGACTCTAGATGTTAGCACAATACTATGAGAGACAAAGCAATAGAGATTCGGGAGCATGAAGTCTATAAAAATTGATGCCTATAATCTTAAAGGGAGCATCTACTTTCTTCCACTCTGAAGATACCTACAGTTAGTAGAGATGGCTATGCAGAGATGTGTAGCCATGGTCTAGCTGACATTCTGGATGGGAATTCCTTAACTGGTCCTTCTAATGTAGCTACAGAGTCAGTTGTCTTGATAGAAAAAAGAAAAAGAGCTAGGCAAGTCTTTATTTCAGAGCAAATGTCAGTCAGAGGAGAATAGGGGTGTTTTCTGGATGAGTTTCCCTAGGCATCTGTTTGTTTGTATGCCCCTGGGAAAGCTAGCTGCCTGCGGTCTTAGGAGTAAACTATGCCAAAGTACTGCTGAACTATAACACTTATGTGGGCAGTGACACCTGCATCATTAAAAAACCACTTCTGGGTCCTTCCTTTTTCTCTTGTGCATGTATATAGTAGACATCAGAGCACCTTGGCATTCACAAAGGCCATCAGCAAGAGCTCAGGCTCTAGGAAGCTGTGCCAGTAAGACTTTTAAGTGCAAACCTATTTGTTACCTGAGGATCAGCTGTGTTTCATAGAAGATCATCATCACAGGGTTGGCCACTAGGGAGATGAACTTCTACGGCTATAGTCATAAAAGACTGAGGTCTACTAAGGTGTGGAAGAGTTGGAATCTTCATGGCTGAAGAGAATACACATTAGGCTTGGAGTCAGGAAGGCCTGAGTTCAAACCTGTCCTCAGACTCCTACTACCTATGTGACTTTGGGCAAGTGACTTAACCTCTGTATGCCTCAGTTTCCTCAACTGTAAAATGATGGCAAATACCAGCACCTACCTTGCAGTATTGTGGAGCTCAAACGAAGTAAAATTTGTAAAGCACTTAACACAGTCTCTGGCATATAATAGGCACTATATAAATGCTATTAATATTGCTATGGCCTTAAGAGCCTATTTGTCTTCCCCACCACACTTCCAGCAACCTCCAATATTCTAATCCTCACCTGAGTGGGATAGAAGCCATTTGCATAAAGTGTCCAAGACACAGATGGGTTAGGAAGAAAACTTTAGCCTGAAGACCTAGGGTAAAACCAACAGATAGGTAGGTATAGTTTCTTCTAGCAGAGCAATAAAGATGAGAGAAAGAAGAGGAAAATGAAAAGGATCATGGGACCGTAGACAATAAATTTAGAGCCAGAATAACCTTCAGAGTTTATCTAATCTAACTCTCATTTTTCAGATGAGGAAGTAGAGAACAAAAGAGATTTAGGTGACTTGCCCAAGGTCACCCAGAGAATCAGCAGTAGAAGTAGGATTTGGATTGCGGCCCTCCGAGTCCAGAGCCACAGCTTTATGAAGCCCACAGCCCTGCCTTCTTCCTACTGCTCTTGGCCCTTTGAAATTCAGCTACAGGTTGAGTTCTTCAGTCCCTTGCCTTAGACCTGGTGGTTCCCACCAGTAGTTTCTAAAGGTTAGTGTCTCTGAGGTGGCAATCATTCAGTCAAGTGATTAATCATTTATTAAGCATTCCCCATGGAGATAGAACCAACATGGCAGAGTAGCGAGAAGTACCGTAAAACCCCACCACCACCAAGCAACCTTCCACACCTGCAAACAAATCAAGAAAATTTACCAAACTCAAGCCTAATGAGGAAATTTAGAAAAAGAAAATGTCACAGTGAGTAATCTTTTCCAGCCGAGGTCAGCAGAATAAGACAGACAAGAGGTCCGTGGACCCTTGAGAAGGGTTCTGGCCAGGAGGAGCGTTCTGGGCAAAGCACTCCAGCCCAAGGGAGAGGCTGTGCACCAGGAAAAAAGATCCCAGGATACCATGACAGGAATAGGCAGCTTTATTGCCCACTACACAGTTCCAGGTCACAGATCTACAGGGGACTGAGAAAGGGACCTGTGCCTTATGGTGGAATTCTGGTAAAAAGAGGGATCACAAGCTATTATGGTGACAAAGACATTCAAGATTCAAACCCAGAAGAAAGGATTCCAAAATATCTACAAACAAAGCCTCAAAAAGATGTTGGAGCAAAAACTCAACTAGAATGCCTAAAAGGGATGAAGCAGGTATTAAAGATAAAAAATACATATAAATTAAATGAGTGCTAAAGGAAAAAAAATGAGAGCTATGGAAGAAAGAAGTGGAAAGGAAATTAACAGCTTGGCACAAGAGATACAAAACTTTGACTGAGCAATAAACTCCCTGAAAATTAGAATGGACCAAATAAAAACCAATGACTTCATGAGATGATGAGAAATGCTTTTTTTTAAAGTCAAAAGACTTTTTAAAATAGAAGAAAATGTAAGCTATCTCATAGCAAAAACAACTGACCTGGAAAAAAGATCAAATAGAAAAATGTAGGAATCATTGGACTACCTGAATGCTACGACCCAAAAAAGAGCTTAGATATCACATTCCAAGAACTCTTAAAAGAAAACTGCCCAGCACTCTTGGAACCAGAGGACAAAGTGGACATAGAACTCAGCTCTTTAAATCCCCAAACGAAAACTCGTAAGAATATTATAGCCAAAATACAAAAGAACTTCTAAACTTAAAAAAAAAATTAGCAGAAGCAGCTAGAAAGAATCCAAGTACCAAAGAGCCACAGGATCACATACAATTTGGTAGCTACCACTATAAAGGAAAGGAGAACTTGGAATATAATATTGCAGAAGGCAAAGGATAAAAGCTTACAACCAAAAATAACCTACCTGGCGAAACTGAGAAGAATCCTTTTGGAGGGGGAAAAACTCTTTAATGAAAAAGGGCTTCTAAGCACTTCTGATGAAAAGACCGAAGATGCATAGAAACTTTGAAGCTCAGCAGGAGTTAAAAGAAACATTAAACAGTATGAATGAATGAACATGATATGAACAAGGATAAACTGCATATATTTAAATATGAAGCAATGATATATGTATCCACTCTGAATCTTCTCATCAGGGGTCAGAGAGGGTGTCTAACTAGACAAGATCTGGGAGTACTATTATGCTTTGATGATCTTAAGAAAGGAAAGAGAAGGAAAGAGGAACACACTGGGGTGAAAAGGAGGATGGAAGAGAAAGGAAGATGAGGGGAAATTATCTCACATAATCAGTGTACAAGTAGACATCTATATAAGCAAAGGAGACAGGGAACATCTAACACACCTAAGGCTTCAACCTCATTCTCTCTGGAACTGATCAAAGGAGGGTAGAATATACATACACACACATAAAGCTGAACAGAGAACTCAACAGGGAAATAGAATGAAAAGCAGGGAGGGGGGAAGGGGGATTTAGAGGGAAGTTAGAATAAGTGAAGGATTAGACCTAAGCAAAACAAACTCTAAGGATGTACAAAAGTATTTATAGCTTTTTGAGGTGGCAAAGAATGGGAATCAGAGGGGTGCCCAAAACTGAGAAATGACTAAACAAGCTATGGTATATTCATGTGATGAAATACTAGTGTGCTAGAAGAAATGAATGGGATGGTTTCAGAGGCAGCTGGGAAGGTTTTTTGAACATATAATGCAGACTGATGTGAACAAAACTAGAACTCATACAATGATAATAAAATGGTAAAGATAAACAGCTTTGAAAGATTTGGGAACTCTGACCAACCATGATTCCAGACTAATAATGAAACATGCTACCTACCTCTTGATAAAGGCGAAGGACTCAGCAGAATGAAACATTTTTCAGGATGTGACCAATGTATAAATTTGTTTTGCTTGACGATACATGTTTGTACCATGTTTGTTTTTCTTCTCACTTGGGGTAAGGGGAAGGGCATGCAGAGAGGAAGAGAAGGCAGATTTTTGCTGATTGAAAAAAAGATTTTAAAGATTAAAAAAAAGAAAGCATTTACTATGTACCCTGCACATAGCACATTTACTGTACTCTGCACTGTGATGCAAAGAAAGGCAAACTGGCTCTCAAAGAATGTACATTCTGGGGTAGCTGGGTGGTGCAGTGGTTAGAGCACTGGCCCTGGAGTCAGGAGGACCTGAGTTCAAATTCAGCCTCAGACACATACTCACTAGCTGTGTGACTCTGGGCAAGTCACTTAACCCCAATTGCCTAGCCAAAAAAAAAAAAAAGAATGTACATTCTAATGCATAAGATCTATAAATACCCAGGTATATATAAGATAAAGCATAGATGAAAGGCAATCTGAGGCGGAAGGCATTAGCAGCTAGGGGGACCAGGAAAAGGCTTCCTGACCCTAAAAGATAGGATCAAGCTGATCCTGAAGGAAGCCAGGGATATTAAGAGGCAAAAGTGAAGAGGTAAATCAGAGGTTCTTAAACATGTGGTGCATTGACCCTTAACTATTTTTAAACATAATTCACTTCCCTTGAAATCATACATATTTTATTTTACGCATTGTAACATTATTCTGAAAAGGGATTCATAGGCTTCATCGGACTGCCAAAAGGGCTCAGGGCACAAAAACGGTTAAGAACCTCTCGAGTAGAACATTCCAGACATGGCACCTACAGTCACACACATCCCCATCCCTCTGCTTCACACATCCCCTTATCTCCCTCCACACCTCCCAAAAAAAGGCTAAGCAAGAGAGATGATGCTACAGCCTCCTGACTTTACCCTCATGCTTTAGTTTCACAAGCACCCACCTTCTATCCTTGCAATAACACACATCCGGACTAACCCACTTCCCCAACCCCCTGCAGGATCCTCAGGGGCCTTGTGACCCTGTTCATTGAGCTCTGAATGTATAGGCTTATTAGCATATTACAAAAATATCTTATGGTTTGAGAAATGGGATAAGAAACTATTTCTCTTCACAACATGACTATTATGGATGTTTTGCATGACCACATGTGTATAGCCTATATCAAATTGCTTGCCTTCTTAATGAGGAGGGGTGAGGAAGGAGGGAGAGAATTTGAAACTCAAAGTTTTAAAAGTGAATGTTAAAAATTGTTTTTACATGTAACTGGGGGAGAATAAAATACTAAATTAAAAAGAGAAAAAAAAGAAACTATTTCTCACCT